CAGGACAAGGGCGGCGGGTAGTTGCAGGTTGGAATCCACGGCAACCCTGACCCTAGCCCGGACGCTGCTTTGCCTGCCGGGCCCCAGTTTCCTCATCTGAGAAAGGCAGAGACGGAGCTTCAGCAGCTCCATGGTGTTCTCGGACCCGTGGTTGCCCGGGAGGCAGCCGCTCTCTCATCAGGGCAACTCCGTCCATCTTCCTGGAAAGGCAGCAGGCCTGGGACGCGCAGGACTGAGGAGCACGCCGTGAGCAGAAGGCCACCGTGGTTCAGAAGTTAGGACAAGACTCTGAAGCTACAACTGAAGTATGTGGAGGGCACGATCTCACTGACAGCCGTGCTCAAGACCCGGCCAGAAGCACACTACCCTGCAGAGCTCGGTACCCCGGGGACGTCCCTCCGGGCGGCCTCGCCGGCACAGGGGCAAAAGGTGCCCTAGCTCCAGGCTGAGCGGGCACGCGCGCTTCAGGGCAGGTGCCCCACCTTCGGCAGGCTCACCAGGCATCGGGGAGACTCACCTTGAAAAGCACCGCTCTGCCAACACCCCCAAACGCAAAGGGTTTGGCTCAGAGCCCGGGTTCGGGGGTCCCCTCCGCCCAGGGGAGAAAGGCAGCCGGGGACACCTGGCAGGCGCCGCACAGTGGGGAGCCGCGCAGGGCGGCTTCTGGGAATCCGGGGACAGCGGCCTCTGTTCCCAGCGGATGGGCGCAGGAGGAAGCAGCTGGGGTGAAGGTCAGCGGCTGCTGCCTGTTCCCTCTCCCAGGGCCACACCTCACCTTTGACCTCTGTCTTGTTTGCCAGGCAGAAAAGAGGGGAGTTTCTTCCAATCAGGGCCATGACCTTGGGGTTTTAAAGGACCTCAGAGTAAATGAGTGTTCAGACTGACCAGGGCGCTCCCCGGGGCGCTGCGGTCAAAGTGCAACACCTGGACGCTGGCCCCGGCCCCTGCAGCCGGTTCCATCCCCAGCCCGGCAGACCTCCCCTGTGTCCCGCTGGCCCCCAGCTGCCTACTCTGCTCCCTGCTCCGCCTCTGGTGAATCCTCTCACCACCCTGCACCTCTGGCCTGTGCATGAATAAATGAATCCTTTAAAAATAAACAGCTCAAGCTGAAGGTCCTTTCCTCCCCAGCCGTTTTCCACTCGTCCCTTCTGGGCCTGCCTCTCCCTACAAACACACCCACTGGGTGCCAAGACTTCACAGTGACCGGCCTGCCTTGCTGCCCCTCGGGCCTACGCTGGACAGAGCTGCCAGCCGGGCTCTGGGAGAAGCCTCACTGCCTTCCCATTTAGGGAACGATCTCAGGCCCCTCAAACCCAAAAGGCGCGCTGAGCCCCCTGGTTTCTGCAGATTCTAGGGCTACACCTCAGGAACTTTCCAGGACGCGGGCATAAAAAGCCAAATTAGGCCCTCCCTGGTGGCGCAGCGGGTTAAAGCGCAGCACAAAGAAGCTTAAGCCACTTCCGCATGAGTTCGATCCCCGCCTGCCCCGGAGGAGACCACAGGGCGCGGCAGACCTCTCCTGACCCGCCCGCTGCTCCCCTCAGCAGTGGACTTCGTCGATCTGCCTGTTCTGCTCCCCGCTCTGTCTCTGGTGAAGCCTCTCACCCTCTGCATCTCTGGCCTGTACCCCAGTTCTGTACGAATAAATAAATAAATCTTTAAAAAAAAAAAAAGCCAAATTAGGTAATGGCCGACAGCCGCGAGCCGCTTTGCGATACGGCGCTTCGCCTCGCTGCGGCCTGTGGCACCCTGCACGGAGCAAACCTGTGGCGCAGTTTTCCCAGGGGCGCCGGCTCAGCGGTGTCCGAGTCGCCCAGGCGTGTACACTGCTGGGCAGTCGACCGCTGCTGCCCGCCTGGGACGACGACACCCCGCAGGCCAGCCTGACCCGCACGAGTCCTCTAACGGCTGATTTATTTTGGTGGCCTGGATTCCAGCCACGGGATCTCCGGTGTGTGCCCATTAACAAGTTATATTAAAGACGCATGTAATAAAGACTCAAAATGTACTCCTCCTAGTTATTTTACTATTTTCTGTTTCTGGCATTCTCTTGTGCCTGTAAAGAGGCTTGATAATCGAGTGCTTGGAACGGACCAAAGCGGGAATATTTACACCGCAGGCGTGAGCAGCTGCCGGGTCAGGCTCAAGGGGCTCGCAGGGTGGCTGTCGAGCTCGCTGAGCTCGCTGCCTGCGCACCAAGTCTCCTTCCTGCCAAAACTCTACCCCTCCCCCGCCCCCATCCCAGACCATCAGCTGCTCCTCTGACAGCATTAACTGGAGGTTTTCAGGACTTACCAAGTTCAAAATAGAACTGACTTATCCCCCAAGCTGCCCCAAGTCCAGGTTTCCTGGCCTCAGAACCTGCAGACTCGGTCCTTGCAGGTGCTCAGTCCAGAAACCCCGGGGGTCATCCCATCTGTCAGCAAGTCCTATTGCTTCTACCTGCAAAGCGTGTCTAAGATACTCTTCACCACCTTCCCCAAGCCTCCCGGTCCTACCCAGCACCACTTCTCAGTTAACTAGCTCCTCATTTCTACCTTGGCCTTCACACAGCAGTTACGAGTGGTCAGCTCGGCTCCCAACCCCTCCCTTGTAGTGCCTAACGTGTTCCAATATACTGTGTGGTAAGCATGTTTATTTTGCTTAGTGTCTGTCACCCCTCCCCCGACAAGTAAGCGCACTATGAATATCTGCCGAGTGATGAGATCAAGCCCACCTGCCCAGGACACTGTCACCTGTAGGTGCTCTCTGCTTCTGAACAATAGCACCAAGGTGAGCGTCCAAGTGACAAGTCTAAAGGTGACTTCAAGCACGGTGGCCGAATGCCCGGCCGCTAGCTGCTCTAACAGCCTATTCAGGAGAGCTGTGAGGGCACATTTGCTAGGTGCCACGCCCTAGGTAAGAACCTGACATGCACCATACTGATCAATTCTCCCACCACCCTGGGAGGCAGCTGCATTGCTATCCCCGTTTTCAGAAGTACAGAAGGAAGAGAGTGCCAAGAGGGAAAGCAGGTGCCAAGGAAACAGGCCTGGAGCCAGGGAGGTCTGGGTCCAGGGCTGACCTTGCAGCATCTGTGAAACCCCACC